AACAACAACAACAACAACAACAACAACAACATGATGAACCAAGTGGTATACCAAGTCAAACACACTACACTGCTGTTTAGTTCCAACTGATAGAGACCCCATAGGATGGGCTAAAATTTCCTCATAGGGTTTCCACGGCTGTAGATCTTACAGAAGAGAATGCCACAGCTTTTGACGGCAGTCAGCTGAAATAGAGGGTTTCAGTGAGTAGCCAAGCACTTACCATTGTACTACTAGGGTTCCTTGAGACAATTGGTATATTAACATTAATACTTCCCACAGCTCGTAGTTTTGCTTAGAATTAATCATAATCCCTATTTAAAAAAATTATACTTGGTATACTATTATCTCTGGCTAATGATTTCCTGAAGCTCCATACCCCACTTCTCAAACCAAACCAGCTGCCACTGATTCTAACTCCTTGCCACCGTACAGAACACAGTAGAACTGCTCAAAAAAGGTTTTCAAGACAGTAATCTTCAAGAAAGTTAATTTTCACATGTGTGTGTGTGTGTGTGTGTGTGTGTGTGTGTGAGACTAGCTGGTAAACACTGGGGAGTTTGTGAGTTTCTGGAAGTGAAGTCCATTGGCAGATGGGCTGTTAACCCAGACACAACCTCCTTGCAGTTCAAACACCAGTAACTCTGTGCAAATTACAGACTTCTGAAAAGCTTCTGGTGGGTCAGCTAAGATTTGGTTCTAATCTGGAGGCAACGTGTGACTTTGAGATAATTCATCAGTACCACTTCGTGTATTTTTAAACTGGAGATGTCAGGATTTTTTCCTCCAAGTGTATCTTGCTTTTTCAATGAATCTGTCACCCTCAACACTGTTCCTTTTATTCACTTTTCCTGGATTCTGTATCTTAATTCTTGATTAACTCTTTCTCTCTCATTCTTCTGGAGAGTATTTCATAAGCTCCATCAGGGAGAATGTCAAGAAATGTGTGTTGTTAGCATGTCTTAGCACATCTGAATATGTGTTAATCCTTACAACCAGTTTACAGTATGGCCGGATATATCACACTCTAAACTGAAAAGTATTACTTCTGAACTTACACTGCTCCATTATTTGTATTATCTTTTGTTTTGTTTTAGCACAGGAGAGTCAGTTCAGGGTCATGGTGACCTCATATGCACATGCAGAACAGCTCCAAAGTGTTCTCAAGGCTGTGACCTTAAAAAAACTGACTGCCAAGCCTTTCTTTCAAGGTGCCTCTAGGTAGGCTCAAGCTGACAATTTTTCAGTTATTGGTCAAGTATTTAACTTCTTGCATTGCCCAGAGATGATGGCACAGTTGATGAGATGTTCAAACACACTCTGATGCAGGTCTATATATGTGATCCAACTTTCTCTCTAAAAACTTGTAGGATGCTATTTGCATTGTTTATCAATTTTGTGATACTATATCTTGGATCCTTATTTATCAGATTCTGATCACTTGCTATGTATCTGAGAGCTAAACAATCAAAAAGGATGATAGAAAAATAACTGACACCTTTGAGCTATGGCACTGGAGAAGAGCACTGAATGTCCCAAGGATGGCCAAGAGAACAAACAGATAAGTCTTGGAAAGAGTGAAGCCAGAGTGCTCTTTGGAGCAAAGAATGATGCCTTACATACTTTGGGCATGTTGCTAAGAGGGGCTATTCCTTGAAGAGAGACATAATACTGCCAAGTGTGGAGGGTCAGTGAAGGAGAGGAAGATCCTTGACCAGGTGCATTGACATAGTGACTGTTTCAATGGGCTCTTGTGTGTCAGGATGTGTGAGGATAGCACAGGATAGAACAGGGTGCAGATCTTTTATTCATAGGGTCGTTAAGAGTCATAATTGACCCGATGGCACCTAACAACAATATATCCTGGATAGTGTTTGTGGTACAGTCTATATGGAGCAAAGCTACTAGATTAAAGGTGGTTCCTCTCTGTGAATTCAAATCCACCAACAAATCTGTGGGAGAAAGTTGGGCAATCTCTTCCTGTGTAACTTAGAGTCTAAAAACCTGCTGGAGGTTCTTTCAGCTACGAGTTGGTTCTGATTTGATAGCAATGAATAAGTGAGTTGTGTCTGGGATAGGAATCCTCGAAAAATAGTACTTAATTTATTGGGTTGCTAACTGAAAGGTCAACAGTTTAAATCTTCCAGCTGCTCCTTGGAAGAAAGACGGGCAGTCTCCTCCTCAGAAGCTCAGCCTCAGAAGCTCAATAAAGGGTTGCTAGAAGTTGGAATCCATTTAATGGCAGTGGTTTCACTGGGTTGTGGTTTTTGTGGGTTTTTTTTTGTTTGTTTGTTTGTTTTTTTATTTTAGACTGGCTCTAAAATAAAATATTTTAGATCTATGTGCAGAGTACAGGAGAAGGCAAAATTATTAAGTCTGAAGACCTACAGTCTGTGATTTTAGGAACTTTCCCCTTTTCTTTGATAATTCATATTCTTTCTCTGAGATCCCTTCCTTTGTATGTTGAAATGATTGAATTAACCTTTAATTTATTTACTATCATGGAACATATGTTCTATTGTTCGGCAACACTTAATTGGGCTTACTTTCCAACTTGTACATTAACATAATTAAAATGGATATAAGTTTAAATGTTAAAGAACATCTTCTTATTCTTTAGTTTTCCTATTTCCACAGCCTCTCTTTGCATATTCATTCATTATCTCTTAACTATGGAAATATTTGTTGAAGTTTGTGTCCATTTTCTTGTACTTTCTGCAGTTGTATCTATTGTACCAAATTCTTAGGTTTTGACTTCCTTCAGTCACAAGTGACATTTCCATTAACAAATTTATTTTTTAAAATTGTTCTATAATATTAATGGGAAAGCACAAATGTTCCTCATCATAGAGCGCCTGGGGGGTAAGCAGTCGGCTTGTGGTGGTGGCGGTGATGGTGGTGGTGGTGGGTACCACAGCTGACCCTTTGTCGGGTTTCAGAGGCAGTTAATTGCACAGAAGGAGACAGTCCATCCTCTTCTTGCAGACCACTCGGCGGCCTCCAATGCTGTCTTCCCCATTGCAGTGCAGCTTCTTGCCACTGGGCCACTAGAGCTCCCTCTGTTTTTGGTAGACCCCATCAAATATCAGCATCTTGGAATTTATGTTTGTAAGGCCATTCCATTTCTCTGCAACTCCATCCTAATATCCTAAAAATCACATCATTTCAGTGTTCTCCAAAGTCCAGATTTTTTTAAAAAATTATTTTCTTGTTTATTAATCCTCTCGTGGGGAAAAAGCCACACAACCATTGCAGATCAAGTTAATGGAGAATGTTTATTCCTTCGTTTTGCCAGGCATGACGATGGCAGCCTTTACAGTCCTG